CCCCCGGCCCCCGGGGCGGGTGTAATTAGCGCTTGATTGCGAGCGCGAGGCGGGAGGCGCCGCACCGAGGTAATGAGCGGGGTGATCACAGGCCTGCAGACGCCGGCGCTGACGAATGCTAAAAGGCCACTGGCGGCGTTGGAGGCTGAAAAATTAGGGTTTTTAATGATAATTTTATGCAGAATAATTGTCACAGTGTGACATAAATGGTTAGCTCCTCGGGCGGGGCCTCGGAGTCCCACAGGAAGCCGAACTGCGCCCCGCGTTTTCGGGCGCCTGCCCAGGGCCGGGGGTTCGGGGAGTTTTGCAGCTGCCGGCCGACCCCCGCGGCTCCCCTTGCGGGGTGTCTGTCCCCGCGGGGCCCGCAGAGTCCCGGGAGAGGCAGGCGGCTTGCGTTTGCTCGTCGTGACACTCCGTCAGTCAAAATGGTCTGGTCGCGGCCCTCGGGGTTGCGATTTCTTGGCCTTCTATCACGGTGGTGGGGATTAAACAAAACCGCCCTCTCGAGAGCAGGCGGGGCCACTGGGCTCTCGGTGACCCAGGCGGGGCCACCAGCGACCAGTGTCACTCGAGATGAGAGCAGGGACTGAGAAAGACGAGAGAACCACCTGAGGGTGCCTGAAGGAAAAACTATGCTGACTATACGTATATGTCCTTTTACAGTTTATTTACGTAGAGAGAGAGCGCACCTGCAGGAGCGGGGGAGGGGCCGAGAGAGAGGGAGAGAGAATCCCAAGCTGGTTCAGCACAGCCAGAGGCAGAGCCCTACCGGGGACTCGATCTCACCAACCGTGAGATCGTGACCTGAGCCCAGATCAAGGGTCCCATGCTTGACCCCCTGAGCCACCCAGGCACCCCCTAAAGATATACTTTTTAAAGCAGCTCTCCTCAGGTGTCGTTGGCATACGGTAAATTGCGCCTGTTTTTAAGTGCACAATTTGATAAATCTGGACCTATGCATTCAGGACAATATGCATTCACGAGATCATCCCCACAATCAAGGGAGTGAGCACACCCATCACCGTCAGACGTTTCCCTGCCCCACTGTTATCCCCCCCCCATTATTATCCCACTAATCTGCTTTTCTAGCCCTGTAATTCAGTCTGAATTGGCCAGTGTTGTACATTTTGTCTGGCTCCTTTCATGCAACGCGATTACTTTGAGATTCAGCATATTGTGCCGTGGATCCATAATTCACTCCTTTCCATTGCTGAGTGGTATTCCCCGGTATGGGACTGCCACAATGTGTTTATCCGCTCGCGTGTTGAAAGACACTTGATTGTTTCCAGTCTGGGGCTATTACAAATAAAGCTGCTATGAACATTTGTGTACTAGCCTCTGTACGGGTGTCTGCTTCCATTCCTCCTGGACGTGTGCCTAGGGGTGGAATGGCTGGCTTGTATGCGATTGAAAGATAACCTTCTAAGAAACCGCCAAACTGTTTCCAAAGTGGTTGTGCCAAGTTGCACTCCCACCAGCAGGGTACGAATGTTCTCGTTGTTTCACATCCTCGGTAGCGGTTGCTTATGGAAACTCTTTAACTGTAGACCTTCGAATAGGTGTGTAAAAATATCCTGTTGTAGTTTTGAGTTGCAATTCCCTAACGACAAGTGATGTTGAGCACCTTTTCATGTACCTATTTGACATCCATCGGTCTTCTTCAGTGAAGTGCCTGTTCAAATCTTGTGTCCCCCCTCCCTTTTTTTTTTTAACATTGGGTTGTTTTCTTAAAATGTGAGATTCCTTTATATATTCTGAATACAAGCCCCTCATCAGACATATAATTTGAAAATATTATCTCCCAACCTATGGGTTGTACTGTCTTCTCTTAAAAATGCCTTTTAGGAAAATAAATGCCTTTTAGGGGCGCCTGGGTGGCTCAGTGGGTTAAGCATCTTCTCAATTTCAGTTCAAGTCATGATCTCACAGTCCTGAGATTAAACCCCCACCTCAGGCTCCACACTGAGCATGGAGCCTGCTTGGGATTCTCTCTCTCTCTCTCTCTCTCTCTCTCTCTCTCTCTCACACACACACACACACACACACACAACATAAATAAACATTTTTAAATGCCTTTTAAAGAATAGCAATTCTTAATTTTGGTGGAATCAGCTTGTCAATTTTTTTCTTTAGAAATTACCTTGGGTTATAATATCTTTTAAAAAAAAAAAAAGTCTTTGCCTAACCCAGAGCCACAAACATTTCCTCCTAAATTTTCCTCTATAAATTTAATAATTTTACATTTTGCATTTAAGTCTGTGACCCATTTTTTTGTTAATTTCTGCATATGGTGTGAGGTATAGATCGAAGCTTTCTTCTTTGCATGCACATGACCGAGTGTCCCGGCACCATTTGTCAAAGGGTCTTTCCTTTCTGCCCTGAATTGCCTTTGCACTTTTGTCCAAAATCAACTGACTACATGTGCATGGGTTTATTTCTGGACTCTCTTAAGTGTACACACAGGACAAAGCCTGACTGATTCAACTGGTAAAGAGCCACTCTTAAGTTCAGACCATTTATCACTTACGTACACTGTGAAAAGAGGACTGGCCAATGGTGCCAATGCCTCGTCCCACACACCAAGGACAACTCCTGCCAAGACTTAGATCAGCAGGGGTTCAAGACCTTTGCTTGCACAGCCTGTGTGGATACACACAAGGTTACCAGAGCTCCATGGTAGAGCCATTCCTCTATATTTGTCTTCTATTTTATTGTCCTGTTTGTCAATTTTGACATCAGTACCACATTGTATTGAATACTAGAGCTCTATAAGAAACCTCGAAGTCAGGTAGTGTAGGTTCTTGGGTGTCGTTCTTTGTCAAAGATGTTTTGGCTATTCTAGCTCCTTTGCATTTCCGTGTAAGTTTGAAAACCATTTTGTCAATTTCTATTTTAAAAAAAAAAGCTGCAGGGTTCTGACTGGGGTCAGAATCAACCTGGAATCTCCCCAGTTGACCCATAGGTCAATCTATAGATTTGGGGAGAATGGACATAATAAACACAAGAAAGCTCTCCGTTCCTTTAGGTCTTTAATTTGTCTCTGCTGTGTTTCTTACTTTTCAGTGTACAGGGCTGGCACATATTTGTCAGATTTCTCCCTAAATATTTATTTTTGGTGCTTGGTAAATGGTATTTTTTATTGTAAATTTTTGATCATGTGTAGCTATTATATAAAATTAATAATTTATTTTTCCATATTGATCTTGTATCTTGCAACCCTGTTAAGCTCAATAATTGTTCTCATAACTCATTGTAAGTTCCGTAAGATTTCTATGCAGGCAGCTGTGTGATCTTTCAATAAACATAGCTTTACTTCTTCAGCTGATGCACTTTATTCTTTATCTTGCCTTATTGCACTGGCTAGTATCTCCAGGGCAATGATGAAGAGAAGTAGTAACAGCAGACAACTTTTCTTATTCCTGATCTTAGAGGAAAGCCTAAGTCTTTCACCATTAAGTAAGAGATTAGACATTGGATTTTTGTAGATGAACTTTTTCAGATTGAGAGAGCTCCCCTCTATTTCTAGCTTGCTGAGAGTTTTTATTACTAATGGATATCGAATTTTCTCAAATACCTTTTCTGCATATTTAGACATGATCATACAGTGTGTTTTCTAGTCTGTTAGTATAATGATTTATATTGATTGTTTTTCAAATGTTAAACCAACCTCGCCATCTTGAGATAAACTACACTTGATCATGAATATTATCCATTTTAATAAATTATTGGGTCTGATTAGCTGGAAAAACTTTAATCTGTATCTATGTTCATGAGAGATATTGGTCTGTAATTTTCTTTTCTTGTAATGTCTTTATCTGGTCTTCATATCAGAGTGACACTGGCTTCAAAAATGAGTTGGAAAGTGTCTCTTCCTCAACCATTTTCTTGAAGAGCTGGTATAAAATTGTCATTATTTCTTTCTTAAATGTTTGGTAGTGGGGCACCTGGGTGGTTCAGTCGGTTGAGCATCTGACTCTTGATTTCACCTTGGGTCATGAACCCAAGGTCATGGGATTGAGCCCCATATTGGGCTCCATGCTCAACATGGAGCCTGCTTAGAATTCTCTCTCTCTCTCTCTCTCTCTCTCTCTCTCTCTCTCACTCCCCCTCCCCCACCCCTACTCACACACTCCCTCTCTAAAAAAAATTAAAAATATATTTGGTAGCATTCATCAATGAAGCAATCTGGGCCTGGAGTTTTCTTTATGAGAAGGTTTTTAAATATTAATTCAATTTCTTTAATAGCTGTTGTACTACTGAAAATATTTCTTCTTGGGTGAGCTTTGATAGCTTGTATCTTTCAAGAAATTTATCTCTTTCAGCTATGTTGTTGAATTTATTGGCATAAGTTGTTCTTTATTATCCTTT